AAAATGGTTTCCTGGGCCAGGTTCAGGGCCCTCCTGCTGTGTGCAGCCTTGGGACTTGGTGCCCTGAGTCCTAGCCACTCCAGCTGTGGCTAAAGGGGGCCAATGTACAGCTCAGGCCATTGCTTCAGAGAGTGCAAGCCCCAAACCTTGGCAGCTTCCACATGGTGTTGGGCCTGCTGGTGCACAGAAGTTAAGAATTAAGGTTTGAGAACCTCCACCTAGATTTCAGAGGATGTATGGAAAGGCCTGGATGTCGAGGTAGAAGTCTGTTGCAGGGGTAGAACCCTCATGGAGAACCTCTGCTAGGGCAGCGCAGTAGGGAAATGTGGAGTCAGAGCCCCCACACAGAATCTCCACTGGGGCACTGTCTAGTGGAGCTGTAGGAAGAGGGCCGCCATCCTCCAGACCCCAGAACGGTAGATCCACCTATAGCTTGCACCGTGCGCCTGGAAAAGCCACAGACAACCCCAGCCTATGAAAGCAGCAAGGAGCAGGGCTATACCTTGCAAAGCCACAGGGGTGGAGCTGCCCAAGGCCGTGGGATGCAAAGCTGCCACCTCTTGCATCAGTGTGCCCTGGATGTGAGACATAGAGTCAAAGAAGATCATTTTGGAACTTTAAAGATTAATGACTGCCCTGTTGGATTTTGGACTTGCATGGGGCCTGGAGCCCCTTTTTTTTTTTTGGCCAATTTCTCCCATTTGGAATGCATGTATTTACCCAAAGCCTGTACCCCCATTGTATCTAGGAAGTAACTAACTTGATTTTGATTTTACAGGCTCATAGGCGGAAGGGACTTGCCCTGTCTCAGATGAGGCTTTGTACTTGGAATTTTGGGTTAATATTGGAATGAATTAAGACTTTGGGGGACTGTTTGGAAGGCATTATTGTGTTTTGAAATGTGAGGACATGAGATTTGGGAGGGGTCGGGGTGGAATAATATGGTTTGGCTGTGTCCCCACCCAAATCTCAACTTGGTTTGTAGTTCCCATAATCCACACATGTCATAGGAGGTACCTGGTGGGAGGTAATTGAATCATGGGAGTGGTTACCTCCATGCTGTCTCATGATAGTGAGCGAGTTCTCATGAGATCTAATGGTTCTGTGAGGGGCTTTTCCCCCTTTTGCTCAACACTTCTCATTCCTGAAGCTGTGTGAAGAAGGACATGCTTGCTTCCCCTGCCGCCATGATTGTAATAAGTTTCTTGAGGGCTCCCCAGCCCTGTAGAATTGTCAGAACTGTGAGTCGATTAAACATCTTTCCTATTTTTTTTTTTTAGACTGAAACTTGCTCTGTCACCCAGGCTGGAGTGGTGCAGTGGCGCGATCTCGGCTCACTGCAACCTCCGCCTCCCAGGTTCAAGCAAGTCTCCTGCCTCTGCCTCCCAAGTAGCTGGGATTACAGGTGCCCACCACCATGCCGAGCTAATTTTTATATTTTAAGTAGAGACAGGATTTCATCATGTTGGCCAGGCTGGTCTTGAACTCCTCACCTCAGGTGATCCACCCCCCTCAGTCTCCCAAAGTGCCAGGATTATAGGTGTGAGCCACCACAACCAGCCAACCTCTTTCCTTTTTTTTTTTTTTTTTTCCCGAGATGGAGTCTCGCTCTGTTGCCCAGGCTGGAGTGCAGTGGCCGGATCTCAGCTCACTGCAAGCTCCGCCTCCCGGGTTCACACCATTCTCCTGCCTCAGCCTCCCAAGTAGCTGGGACTACAGGCGCCTGCCACCACGCCCGGCTAGTTTTTTGTATTTTTTTAGTAGAGACGGGGTTTCACCGCGTTAGCCAGGATGGTCTCGATCTCCTGACCTCGTGATCCACCCGTCTCGGCCTCCCAAAGTGCTGGGATTACAGGCTTGAGCCACTGCGCCCGGCCAACCTCTTTCCTTTATAAATTACCCGGTCTCAGATAGTTCTTCATAGCAGCATGAGAACAGACCAATACACCAGGACATGAGGCTGAGGCAGAGGTCGCTTTCCTAGCATCACATTATTCCAGCTACAGATGGGCATATAGCAGCTGTCTTCCCACAGATGACATGGAGCAAGTCTGAAGCACAGGGCACTGGCTCAGGCAGGTGGTCACACCAATGGGGTGGTTCCCAAGGACACCAGTGCTCAGGAACCACAGGCTCCAAGCATACTTCTGCCAAGACGGGTCTAGGTCAAGATTAATTACATTAGAATCTCTATAGAAGAGTCCTGAGCATCAGTATTTTGACCCAGAATTCTAGTATCCAGACAGTGGGAGCACAGCCTGCCGTTGGCTTGAATGCAAACTTCACCATTGCATATATGACCGGAGACAAGGAACCTCAGTTCTCTTAGCCTCAGATTCCTTGTCAGTTTAATTTACTATGGTCACCCCCGTCCTACATTTGCATTTGCACTTTCCCTTTCAGAATGACTCCCTACCAACCCAAATTCTAGTATCCGTAAAGACCCAGTTCAGAAACCAGTTCCTCTGTGGCTAATCCCCCCTGAAATCATTTCTCCTTCCCCTGACATGGTGGCATTTATTACATGTGTTATGGGCTCGGAGAGGAGCTGGGGGCTCTTTAGAAACCAGCTAGTCCAACCCTTGACTTTCAAGACAAGAAATTAAGGAGCTGATCGAGGCAAAGACTTGCTCAGCATCCTAGAGCAGGTGCACAAGGAAGCTGTGATCGTCTGGGATCTTTCCGCTGCCTGGAGCACAGACTTGGGCATTTCCAGATCAGCCAGTTACTTGCCTCTCTGAGCTTCAGTTTCCTCACCCATAAAATGGGGAGGATAATGCCTACCTCTCAGGGTTGCAGTGAGATTTAGATGATGGGCTTTGTAAACTGCAAGGTGATGTGTGCTTTTGAGGGTTGCATTACCTGTTATCTCCATGGAGATAGCATTAGAGGCATGGGAGCTCCTTGGGGAAGGGATCTGCCTCAGGCATTAGAAAACACCCAGCACACAACTGGTGCTTGGAAAGCCAGGCAGGGAGCTTGTAGCTGGCCCAGGATTGTGGCCCACAAATGGGAGCCATAGCTGCGCCAGGGCTCCAGGGCTCAGAGAGGTTTCTGGCTGGGATACCAGGGGAAAGAAGAGTGTGGAAGACCCAGAACTTCAGCAGACTTGATGGGAGACCATGATACAGGGGCCAGAGAGAGCACTGACATCGCACAAGTCTGGACTCCAGTGGCAACTCCTCTGTGTTTTGCCTGGACTACTCACCACCCAGGGGCTGATGTGAGGCTCACAGGAGGCCCCTGGTGGGTGACACACCCAGTCGGGTGCCCAGCACACTGTAAAATGTAATTAACACACCTTCACTCCCCACTGCCCCTTTCTGAACAGTCATCAAGGTCATTTGATATAGTCTGCAGTAAGCACTTTATTTATTTATTTATTTATCTATGTATGTATGTATGTATGTATGTATTTGTTTATTTATTTTTTAGACGGAGTCTCACTCTGTTGCCCAGGCTAGAGTGCAGTAGTGCAATCTCAGCCCGCTGCAACCTCCACCTCCCGGGTTCAAGAAATTCTTGTGCCTCAGCCTCCTGAGTAGCTGGGACTACAGGCACCCGCCACCATGGCTGGCTAGTTTTTATAGTTTTAGTAGAGATGGGGTTTCACTGTGTTGGCCAAGCTGGTCTTGTACTCCTGACCTCAAGTGGTCTGCCTGCCTTGGCCTCCCAAAGTGCTGGGATTACAGGTGTGAGCCACTGTGCCCAACCATGAGCACTTAATTTTATCAAGTAAATATTCCATAAGGCGTGTGTTATCATCTCCATTCTATCCAAGAGTTGACTGAGGCCTTGAGAGGTGAGGAATTTCCCTGCGTCACATCAATGCTGACTTGTAGAGACGGGACTCGAACCCAGGTCAGCCTGAATTCAGAGCCCAGGATCTCTTTTCCGCTCCATAATGTGGGGCCGTGTCAGGAGGATCCTGGTAACAAGTTGGGGATTCTGACCTGGGTCAGTTCCTAGGCTGTCAGCTGGGCCACCTCTAGGCTCCAGGAAGGGCATGACACCAATGGTAGATGATGGCTCTATAAGCAAGGTCAAGCTCATTCATTCTGAGGCTACATTAATAGAGGCAGTGGTCAGGAGGTGGGAGCTGAAAGACAATTTAGAAACAGTACTGGCCATATCACCTCTGGGGCACTGCTGGACTCCATGCTCCCAGAAGGTTGTGAACAAACTCGGGGTGTGGGACTGGAGCTCCCTGAACACATCACTGGATTGGCGATGTCCCTGAGGAGTGGTTGTAAGGTGTGAGCTGTTCACTGTGGAGAAGAGTGGCCTCAGAAGATCAATACCCTTTAGCCCCTCTCTCCAGGCAGGCAGAGCAAGCAGAGTCTGTGGATCCAGGGTGCAGAGCTGGGATCCATGGGGAAGCCGCAGGCAGTTGGATTTTAACACCACATGAGCAAATATCCAAGAGTTAAATAAGATAGAAACCAGGGAAGTGCTTAAAAACAATGAAGTCCTGCCAGGGATGCTGGTGAATGGTCTCTGCCATTGTCAAGTTGCCAGCAGATAACTTTGATGCATGAGCCACAAACAATAGAGATCAAAGAGACGTTTTCAGAGCAGAATGTTGTAAGCAATTGAGATATTCAACCATCTGAGCCAGAAACATTTCCCCGCACCCTGCTTGGCAACGGAGGGTGATGGAGAGTGAGGTGGGAGGGGCCAACTATCTTTCCCTGGTCTAAGTCACAAAGGAAAGCAATGGAGGCAAAGCACAGGTCAAAGTCCCCACTATGTAAGGAACTGACAAGGGAGGGGTAATCAAGGGAGGCTGAGTTCCTGTGAACATGGAGGCCTGTGTCTGTGACAACGGACAAAGGGCAGGGAGCAAGAATATTCCTAAAGTCCTCTAAATCCTTCACCTGGTGACCCAGGTGGCCAGGTCTCCCCTCTCCACCAGGGGAGGAAATCCCAAACCCAGCTTCTGAGGGTGGAGACAGTGCATAGAGCATCCCAGCTCTGCAGACAGTGGTGTGCGAGCCATGGACCACCTGGCTCCAAGTGGGACAGCCTTTTTCTGAGGCAGGGACAGCGTCCGTGCCTGCCCCCACCCAGGAGACGACCAGAGGGGCAGAGTCCTGCTCAGACCCAGGGGGTCCTGGAGGGAAGGGGATAGCCTCCTGCATGCTCACCGTCTGCCCCTTCCTCCTTCTTTTCCAATTCCACCACAGCCCTGGGTCCTCCTTTCCTCCACTCGCTCCCTTCTCTCACATTTGCTCCCCAAATCCATGCCCCTCGCCACGCCCCGACAGTGCCCTCCTGACCCAGCCCCTGCCTGCCCCACTCCCTCAACACCCACTCACTGCGGGCCCTTCCCTCCTTCAGTCTCACCCCAGAGCCTTTGCACCTGCCATTGCCTCCACCTGCAAAACCCAGCATCTCATCCTCAGTCTCAGCTCAGCTGTCACCTCCTCAGGAAGGCCTTCCTGGGCCACCCGGGCCAATGTTGCTTTCACCCCCACCCTGCCCCACTCTCACCCAATTTTGTTTTCTTCATGGCCCCACTGCTCCTGGAAAAATCTCATATTCACATTTTCCCATTTGCTGTTCAGCATCTGCTCCCACACTCCCACCAGAATGTAAGGTTTCTTCAAGGCTGTGTCCCCAGGGCCTATAGCTCACTAAGCATAAGCTGAATAAATGAATGAAAGAATGAATGAGTGGTTCATTGTCTCTTTATTTATTTATTTATTTATTTATTTATTTAGAGACAGGGGCTCCCTTTGTTTCCTGGGCTGGGGTGCAGTGGCGTGATCATGGTTCACTGCAGCCTTGACCTCCTGGGCTCAAATGATCCTCCAACCTCAGCCTCTCAAGTAGCCAGGACTACAGGCATGCACCACCATGCCCAGCTAAGTTTGTATTATTTTTTTTTAGAAATGGGGTCTCACTATGCTGCCCAGGCTGGTCATTTTCTCTTTAGTTCCCACGTGTATTCCTTTGCCTCCTGTTCTCACTCACGCCTCCATGTCACCAACCTCCCCATCTCCACTGACACTGAGCATTTCCTTAGGGCCTGGCCAGGGGCACAGCATGGGTCCCGCTCTGCCAATGGGAAGAGCAGTGACTCGTGGAGAGGCCAGAGGCCTGGTGTCCCTGGCATCCTCTCTGCCTGAGGTAGAGGCACAGCTACGTCACAAACCTGCAGGAATGAGGCTGTAGGGGCAGCAAGGGCCACTGGGCCCAACAGAAGCACACACAGCTGGGATCCTGAAAAGACCCGGACCCCCCTCTCCTCTTCCTCCCACTTCCTGCCAGGGCCTTCCACCCTCTGGACCTGATAGGAAGTCAGAAGTCAAGGTTTCCTCAGTGGGGTAGATCCCGGGGGTCACCCCCAAGGGCCACTACAGGACTGAGAAAGAGTCTGAGGGGGAGCACCCCCACCCCATCATCTCGATTGGCTCCTCTGGTCTCTGACGTGGGCATCAGGCACTTTCCCCGTCTTCTGTGAGGTCCTCCGTGGGCAGCTCCATGGCAGAACAGGAGCCCGTCTCCCCAGCAATGCTGTCCTCCTAGCCCCCCATGGAAATTCTGGAAATAAGACATGTCTCTGTGGCTATCCTCCTTTCTCTCCTTCCTGTAGGGCAGGTGACCTGGGTACACAGTGACCGGGGACATGCTGACAGGCTGTGCCCCAGGGAACTGGCTCCAAGCTGCAGGGTCTCCATGGAGATTGGCAGGGCCTCTTCCTGCTGGGGCAGATGTGGGCACACAGGACAAAGGCCAGAGCAGGAATCAAGGGACACCAATCACTGGGCTGGTCCAGCTCAGCCCCCTCAGGCCTGATGGGTGGGCCTGAGCTCCTCCATATAAGGAGCTATCTGGGGTTGGAGGGGGCTTGTTTCCAGGACGCCAGTGTCCGGAGGGCTGTGGAGGGGAGCAGAAGCCACGGATAAGTGCCTGGGGCTTGGGAAGGGTAGGTGAAACCATGTGGGTGCAGGCGCAGCCATGGTGAGCCCAGGTCACTCTTCCCCCAGACCCTGCTCTGAAGGAGGACCTGTGGCCCTCAATGTGGCTGAGCTGGAAGTGTCAGTGAGGTCTTGGGATGGCCACTCCCCAGAGAACTGCACTGATGTCCTGCTAAACAGATAGCTGTCGAGTGCATGGGGGAGGGCCGCAGGAGACCCCCCAAGTCTAGAGGGCCGGTCAGAGGAGAGGGACCAGGCCAGGCCACACACAGGGCCAGCCTCGTCCGAGGTCACGTGGGGACGTCTGGAACAATGGCAGGAGGACTGGCAGGGAGCTGGTGAAGCTGCAAGAGGCACCTGTCCCATGGGCGGCCCAGTGACTGCCCCCGGCAGGTCATGTGGACTGACCAAGGTGACTGTCATAGAGCGTCTAGCACAGGTCGGGGGCACAGCAGTGACCAACACATGTGCCAACGGCTGCATGAGTAGGCCAGAGGGATGCGGGTAAGCAGGTAGGCAGGCAGATGGCATGGACAGCCTGCCCAGGGTCCAGGGAAGCAGCTGGTGCGTTCCCCCCAGCACAGCCACCCCTCTCCGTTTGCCCACCTCACCTGATGGTCCCAAGGAGCTGGGCCTTGGTCCTGGAGAAAACCTCAAGGGCCACGCTCCTCAGCAGGCCCTGCATCCACCACAAGTCCGCCGGCACATCGGGCAGCCACGCCACCAACCTGGAGGAAGGGGCAGGTCAGCTTTGCCCAGGTGAGCCTGGGGTGTGGCCCCACCGAGCCCACCCTCCCCACAGACCAGAGCCAGGGGTCCCTGCACCTGAGGGCTGCCCAGGTTGGGGGAAGAAGTGTCAGCAGTGTCGACCACTGTTGCAGAGCCAGTCAGAGCCACAGGGGCACCTGCAGGGTTGGAATGATCCGAAATGGACTCTGAACTTGGCAGAGGTGGCCAGGCCTTAGGGTCCTTGACTCCCGAGGAAACAAGTGGGAAGCACAGGTAGGGAGAGAGTGGGCCTTTGGGGTCAGGCTGGCTTGAGGGTACAGCCCAGCTTCCCTGCCCATCAGCTGGGTAACCTGCACAGGTCAGGGAACCTGTCTGGGCCTCCGTTTCTTCACCTGTCAAATTAGGACAGTCACCTCACCCGTAGTTCCTAATGTCCTCCTTATCTCCATCCATTTCTCTCTCTTCTCTCCAGGCCAGCCCCTGCCCTCCCCACCCCAAACCCCTTTGTCCACTCTCCTCTCAGAAGCTGCTGGCCCTCCAAAAACACAGCTGACAGAGCCCCCTTTTGCTCAAGATGTCCCCGTGGGTCCCCACTGCCTCCATGATGGAGCCAGCCCCAGATTCAGGGTCCTCGGAACTGCGTCTTATCCCAGCACAGAGGGGAGAGAGCATGAGTCTGTCTGCAGGGCCACAGTCCTATAGGGCCAGGCCTGAGAAAGCTCTGGCCAGGCACCTCAGACACTGGCCACTGCAGGGCCCCAACCTGCACCACAGCACCCTTGGAGGGGCCCCTACACCAGAGTTCAAACTAGGCATGCAGTCCAGAGAGGGTGGTGTGATGGCAAGATATAAGCCGGACTGTCACCTCCCTTGTTCTGTACCACCTGCCTCTATTAATGCAACCTACGTTGTTGAACATATGTATTGTGAAAAATACCAAGAGTGAACTTCTCTGTAGTCTGGGCAGGCTCCCCTTTGGGGATCACACAATGAATTTGTTTTTAACTGAAAAGGTTGGACTTTACATTTATACTTTTGGATTTCAACTCGTGGTTTCTGTAAACAGCTCAGCGTAAGGAGAATCTGTCGGTAGAAAGCTCTCTCCTGGCTTTGGCCCACTGGCAATTTAAACAGCAGGACTGACCCATGCATTAACTCAACATTGAGCAGGACAGACACCTGTGGCTCACCATCACAGACCTTCTTCCGGAGAAGAGAGAATTTTAAACACTACACATCTCCCCATGCCACCTCCCTGCTCAAACCCTTCCCAGCCTTTCCACCACTCTCTGGACAAAGACTAGCTAAGCCGGCTGCAGAGCTCTGTGCACCTGCCCCACCAGCCTCCTCTGCCTCGTCTTCTACGGCAGTAAAGCCGAGGCTCCAGCTTTACTGGCCTTCCTTCCTGCTCCTCGAACAGGCCTTTCTACCTCCCGCCCCTGGACCTTTGCACATGCTGTTCCATCTGCCTAGAACATTCTCCTTGTCCTCTTTGCCTGGTGGACGCTGACTCATCCTTCAGAGTATAGCCTGAGTCATCTCCTCCGGGCAGCCTTCCCTGGCCAGAGAGTCCCTAGATTGAGCTGTGCAGTTGGAAGCTAGTGTAGGCCTCTCCCAGGGAACCTCTAGGTGGAGCTGTAGTTACAGGGGAGTGTGTGATAATTTGTAGGTCGGGAGCTCTACCAGGCCAGGAGCTGGGTCTGGGTCAGGGCTGCTTCCATGGCCCACAGCCAGGCCTTGGCCCCTGAGAGATCCTCAGCAACTGCTGGTGGAATGAATGAACAACTGACACAGAGGGACACATTAACCAGCAAGTTAGAATGTTACTGAGGGCCTAACCACAGCTGGCCTGACTTGGAAGGGGCTCGTTCTACAGAAAAGGAACCTGTAGTGGTGGGCTCATGCCTGTCATCCCAGCACTCTGGGAGGCCGAGGCGGGCAGATTGCCTGAGCTCAGGAGTTCGTGACCAGCCCGCACAACAAGGTGAAATCCTGTCTCTACTAAAATACAAAAATATTAGCCGAGCGTGGCGGTGTGCGCCTGTGGTCCCAGCTACTTAGGAGGCTGAGGCAGGAGAACTGCTTGAACCCGGGAGGCAGAGGTTGCAATGAGCCGAGATCACGCCACTGCACTCCAACCTGGGCAATAGAGTAAGAGTCCGTCAAAAAAAAAAAAAGAAAGAAAGAAAGAAAGAAAGAAAGAAAGAAAGAAAGAAAGAAAGAAAGAAAAGAAAAATGAGAAGAGAAGAGAAGAGAAATCTGTAGCCCAGAAAGGTCAAGAGACTCGGGCCCAGCCACACAACCAGCCTGAGACTGAAGAGACCCAGCCCCAGCCACAAAGCCAACCTGAGATTCTGATGGGTGGAGCAATGGTCAGAGGTCACGGAGACAGTGTAGGGTCCAGGGGGAAGACCAGGAGGACTCCAGCTTCCAATCGTACCCACCATGCCCCTTCCCCACCAGTCTCGTTTTGCAGAGGAGATCACAGAGGCTGTGAGTCATTCAGCCAACACCACACAGTGTGGAGACAGCAGCCGGGCTCCCCCCACCCCGCCCAGCCCTGTCCACCCAGTGTGCCAGCTGCCCCTCCTGCCATGGGCACCAGTCTCCGCCACAAGCCAGGCCCTTCCCAGGCCCCCTGGCTGAGCCTTACCTTCTGCTGCGGAAGTAGACGTACTCAAAGGGCAGCGTGCAGGGTAGCAACATGTACGTCAGCACCTGTCCAGGCCCCGAGCGCCAGAAGCGGGCCCATGGGCTGGGGTCCCTCGTACATGCTTTCTTCAGTGCTGCAAGAGAAGCCCCAGCATGGCCCTGCCCACCTGGAGTCTGTGGACCGGCAGCCTGAGCGCCCCCATCTCACACAGTAAGAGACTGCACCCCCTCCACCTTCTGCAGATGAAGAAACAACATGGAGCCACCCCGCACCACGGGCCAGCAGGTAGCTATGCACTTTCATTGTCATGAGACAAGTGGTGTATGCCCCCTCATAGATGAAGAGACTGAGGTTCAGAGTGGAGAAGTGACTTGCCTAAGGACCATCAACAGGAAGTGGCAGGGCCAGGATGGACTTGAGGACTCTCAGGCTCCTGAGCTCTTTCTACCTCTCCTGCCCCTCTGGAAAGTCTGTGGCCTGCCAGGCTGGGACAGATGCTCTCACCACAGTCTCTCAATAACAGTAACACAACAGTGTTATTAATAACCACAGCCACAGCTGTAACCGCAGCAACCGTTTCTTGGGTCCTCTATTCACTGACCTGACCAGAGTGGAAGGGACCAGCATCTGGGCTGGAACGGAGCCAGAGCCCAAACCCCAGCTTCCAGACATAGCCCAGGCCACAGCTCTGGCCACCACGTCCACTCTGGCTGCTGCCCTCTGGAGACGGGGCATTTGAAGATTCACAGGTAGCACAGGCCAGACACCCTGCTCCACATCCACCTGTCGAGTGTCCTAGGACGAGTCCTAGCTTCCTTCTCTGTAAACTGGGGGTCCCGGCAGGACGTTCCTCCCTGGGCAGGCAGGTGAGGATTAGAGATGAGATTCACAATTCCCTCCCCAGCTGGGGAGGGCGCAGCACCCAGGAGTTGATGCTTCACCCAAGGCAGCTCTCTGGTGCCCCCGTGTGGCTGCAGGGACACTGCTGGGTTCCACAATCCCAAGCTTGGACCTCAGGGGCTGGGCACAGGTCCACGCCCTTTTCTGCATATCCTTGTGTGGTCTCCCGGCATGAAAAGGGGCCCCCTCCTCGTCCCCTTGCCACCCCACTCTCCCTGATCTGGCCTCGACCACCATCACTCTCCTCCCGGCCTCCCACCCCTTCAGCCTCTTTGGGTCCACCACCCCCTCCCGTCCACCTCACTCCCTTCTCCCACAGCTTTCGAGGACACCTGCCCACCCTGCCAGCCTCCCAAGCTCACCTCTGCTGCCTGCCACTCATGCTGCAGCCACAGGGACCTCCTGGCTCTCCCTCACCAACCCCAGGACCTTTGTGTGTGCCAGGCCCTCTCCCCGATGCTCTTTTGCCTCTTGGCCTGGCCAACATCTCCTTTCCAGTTTCACTCAGATGCTGCTCAAACTCACCCCCCGCCATCATTACATGTGCCTGTAGGACCCTCTACTTTCCTGTTGTTGCAGTTGTGACATTTAGTCACAGAGCAGGAGAGTAGACTAAGTGGTTCTGAGTAGAACCCCTGGTTCTGCCATTTGCTACTGTGTGACCTTGGGCAAGTCGCTTAACTTCTCTGTGCTATGGTTTCCTCGTCTTTACAATGAGGACAGTTCTGTACTATCCTCAGATGGTTGTTGGAAGGATGAAATGAGTTCATTTCCATCTGGAGAATCCAAAACCCTCTGTGTGTGCCTCTCCTATGTCTGTCGACACTCCTGCCCTTTCCGGGGCAGTGGGCAAAGACCTGGCTTTTGCAGGCACAGGCTTGGGTTCAAATCCCCTAGCTGCAGGCTCTGAGCCCTTGATGAGTCCCTTCCTTTCTCTGAGGTTTGGTTTCCTCATCAGTGAAGTGGGTACGAATAATGCTTAGGCCCAGGGTTGTAGGAAGGAGTGAATGATGCCACATGTAAAAAGCCCATAGTACCACACCTGGCATTTAATAGGTGCTCAGTAAATGAGTCCTGTCCTCTTCCAGACCACGAGTGCCTTCAAGGCAGGGTTCCTGAACCTGGTCCCCTGAGTGCAGGGCCCTGGTAGGTAAGCAAATGCAGGAAGAGTCCCTACCAGCCTCCAGCTCTGGCGAGAGCTGCTCAAAGTTGGGTATGTCCTTGACTTGCACGTGGGGCACTTGCCAGTTGAGAGACAGGCCGCTCTTCGGGCATTGGTCACAGCCAGCATCCCAGTTTCCATCAGCCGGGGCTGGGGGTTCCTTAGACACCAGTGTCCATAGCACCGGCTCCTTGGTGAGTCCTGGATCAGGGAAGGGAGAGGATAAGTCAGGCATCTGAGCCTCCCCAAGGCGCCCCATGCTGCCCACATCCCTCAGGGCCCAAACCCCGTTCTGGGGATCCACTGTGCTGGGGGATGGATGCATGGCTTATTCCGGATGACTCCCTTCTGCCTTCCCCTGGCCCTGCTCTGCCCTACTCCCTGCCCACTTTCAAGTGGCTCATCAGAGCCCAGACCCCAAAGACACAATCCAGAGTTCCAATTCTGGCTCCACCACCTGCAAGCTATGTGACCCAATGCCTTTTGCCTCAGTTTTCTTCTCTGTAAAAAAGGAAAAGTAAGACCTGCCTTATATGATTGCCTGAGAATTAAACAAGATAAATACATAAAGCTTAAGCTCACATCTGGGCACATATAAAGCGCTCAGCAAATGCTTCCTGATTGTGTGTTTTTGGTTGCAACATAGGACTTGAGCACATGAGTTCGGGAGCCAGGCAGCCTGCATCTGAACGTCTACTCCGCTAGTTTGAAGAGCACTGTCCTGTGGATGATGTTCAGACTCTCCAGCCCAGACCTCTCTGGCACACCCACTGCCCCATGAACACACACACACACACACACACACACACACACACACCTCCTGCCATATTGAGTTACGTGCCCTCAAGGTGCCTGCCTCTGTCCCTTCTCTCTTGTTTTTCCCTCTGCCTAGAATGCCCTCTTCTTTTGCTGGAATCTTCATCTTTGCCGGTGTCTTCATAATGAACTAGTCAAAACCAGCTTATCTGTCACTGCCTCCAGGAAGCCCTCCTTACCTACCCTCAACCCCCAGACTGAGTCCAGTGCCTCCTCTGGACTCCCACAGCCTTGATCATCCCACCATCCTTGCCCCCATCTCCCTGGGTTGTCTCTCTCTGGGTCTGTCCCCCTGCACCAGGCTGCGGGCTGCTCAACAGTGGAACTTGTATGTGATTCTTCTCTGAGTCCCCAGTACTCAGCTCAGGTCCAGCACAGAGCAGATGCTGAGGACAAGAGTGAGTGAGCCCAGGTCCCTAGCAGCTCAAAGGCCCAAGAGGCAGGGTCCACCTGGCACCATGTGGGACACGATCCCCAGCCACTGTGGGACTGCCACCTACCACGTCTCTCCAGGAACCTCAGGGCATCCAGGTAGCCTTGTCTGCAGTTGTCGGCCACCACCTGCCAACACACAGGGCAAGGGTGGGATGGGCAAGGCCTGGACCTGCCCCTTGAGCAGATGTCACAGGCCAGGGACTTATCTTTAACTGGAGATAGTCCCAGCCCAGCCTATTCTCCCCAAGTGACCATTCAGCTGGGCTCAGGGACCCCTGTGGACCAGCACTGGGCAGGAGGGGCCAGAAGCCTGCAGATAGATCTAGTTCTGTCCCTGCAGGCCCATTGCATCTCCCCTCTGAGACACCCTGGCTGCTCTTGCCCCAGTCTTTCCCCTCTCTTGCCTCAGTTTCTGCCTCTGGAAAATGGGATAACAAGGCCTGGGATGGCTGGGACTTTGGCTTCTTCTAGGGCAGTGGATGGGGGTTCCCTTTGCTCCTTTGATGTTCACTTCCAGGACAAGACTGAGGTGGGCTGAGGAACCAGGAGCCCCACCTGCCTGTCTGATTAAAGCCCCACTGGTGGCAAAGGGTGCTGTCCCCCTCACGTCCTTGCTGTGAGACTTTAGCATGGCAGTGCTAACTCTCTGAGTGCCTCAGCTTCCTTATCTAGAAAATGCAGCTGGGGTTTCCTGCCCACCCAGGGGTGTGGGGAATACCAGAGTAAATGAACATGACCTTGTCTCGTGACTTAGAAAGCACTACACAAACCCGAGAGGTAGAAGGGACAGGGAAGAGCCAGGATGTGGTTGGGGCAGAGGAGTGTATGTGTGTATATGTGTGTGTGTGTGTGTGTGTGTGTGTTTCTTTCTTTCTTTTTTTGTTTTTTTGTTTGTTTGTTTTTGAGATGGAGTCTCACTCTGTCACCCATGCTATAGTGTAATGGCACGATCTCGGCTCACTGCAACCTCCACCTCCCAGGTTCAAGCAATTGTCCTGCTTCAGCTTCCTGAGTAGCTGGAATTACAGGCATGCGCCACCACGCCCAGCTAATTTTTGTATTTTTAGTAGAGATGGAGTTTCACCGTGTTGGCCAGGCTGGTCTCAAACTCTTGACCTTAAGTGATCTGAGAGCCTCGGCCTCCCAAAGTGCTGGGATTATAGGCGTTGAGCCACCGCGCCCGGCCAGGAGGAGTGTATTTCAATAGTTGTCAAATTATCTATTTTCCAGGAATACCAAGGGGTAAAAATCACTTCCTTTGTTTTTTTCTTTGCATTTGTGCCTTGCCTCCACAGTGGTTGGTCAATTTGGCCACAGTCAAGGACAGTGGTCAAGAGCATGGGCCTGAGCCAACTGAAGGTCGAATCCTGGTTTTGCTGCTTCCAGGCTGTGTGACTTTGAACAAGTTGCTTAACCTCTCTCAGCCATAGTATCCTCCCCTGAGAAATGGAAATGATAACGGCACCTGCCTACAGACCCTGGCCCAGAGGAGCACAGGCAAAGGCCCTGCTCAAAGGCCAGCTCAGCAGAGTTGGCACGAGTGTGTCCCATTGACCTGGGGCCAGTCCTCACTCATCACTCATCGCTCAGTGCGGCAAGAACAGTAAAGACACGACTGAACCCCATTAGGATTCAGGTGTTTGGCTTTGAGACTGGGGACATACGTTGTAACTGCCTTGAGGCTCAGGGGGCAGTGTGGGTTAGGAGCACACAAAGTCTGACTCACGGGACCCTTGACCATGGCCAAGCCTCTAACACCAACACGGGGCCAGACCTACCTCGAGGCTGGGGGGTATGAGGCTTACGAACCCCAGGAAGAAGTTCTTGGTGGAGATTTGGAAGCTGGCGTTGAAGGCATTCAGCTCATGCAGGTTGGGGGAGGTGCTCTGGGGGCAGATGTCCACTGTCCCATGGAAGGGGGACACCGTGATGGTGGAGGGGCAGTCCGCAAAGGGCAAGTTGTTGCTCAGAGCCCCATCGATGTAGCGCTGCAATTTGTGGGGGGCAGGTGGGTGGTGCTGCCCTCTCAGAGGGCCTCCCACACTGGCTGCAGCCGGTGACCCTCCAGCTGTCCCTGAGTCACAGGGCCACTCCAGCCCAGGAGGCTGAACGCCCCCTAGGAGCAGGGGGAGGGCCTGGCACACAGTAAGTGCTCAGGGAGCGCTGGTTTCCTCCACCCGAACACCTCTCCACAATGTGCACCCCAGGCTGCCCAGAGCACAGAGCAGGGTTCCAAAGTGCACTCACCTCCCCTCTGAACTCGGGGGGGATCAGCCCGCAGTAGAAAGGGAAGTATAAGGTGCAGACCAAGGCCTAGGAAGAGAAGAGTCAGCGGGAACACAACTGTACATGCTCCTTGCATTCAGAACCTCCCCTGTGCACGGTTTCTAATCCCAACAGCCTGCAAAGGAGGTGTCATCAGTCCCACGTCCAGATGAGGGAGCTGAGGTGTCACCTCCCAGCCAAGCTCTCCAAGGGAAGCAGGGATTGGAGCACCTCTGTCTCGACACCCACCTCCTCTTTCTGTGGGTGTGCAGGGAAGGAGGTCAGGTGCGAGCTCCTGAGGAAGCCAGATGGGGACCCCAAAGAGTGGCCCAGAATCCTTGCCTGTGTAGCAGTTGGGATGGGACCTGGCACATAGTAGGTGCTCAGTACACATTAGCTGCCGTCACTGTTATCAATCTGTGGGACAAAACTGTCACCTGCATCTCCATCTGGTCAGAGCCAGATGGGTTCTGCACCTCCCAGACAGAGTTGGGATGCTTCCAAGGTTTCCATGAGACAAAGTCCTATATTCAAAAGTTTGCAAGCTCTAGGTTGGTGGTTCTCAACTAGGAGTGACTTTCTCCCCCACAGGACACTAACAATGTCAGAGACATTTTTGGTTGCCACACTGTGCCTGCACTTGAGCGTGCACACTTTTGGCAAATGTCAATAGTGTCAGGATCTATGTGAAGCCTCCTTTTTAGACATCCTATTCATCCTATTCCATTTCAATACTGGATTGTTCCTGACCTCCTTACATGGAGATGAGTTCATTATGGATACCACCTGCCCCCCTGACCAATGAGCATAGAAGCCCCAGGGAGGCAAGAGTTTCTGTCTGTTTTGCTCCCTGTTACAGCCACAGTGCCTAGAACAGTGACTGGCCCCAGCCAGGCTCTTCTGTGTGCAGCAACCTGGGAGGTCTCCAGACCCACCCTGCCGACCCTCTCTGGGCCTCAGTTTCCTCAGCTACAAACAGGTCCGCCCTCCCTCCCTCCTTCCGCCCCTGCAGAAACGTCTGCCGGGGAAGTACCTGGATGTCACTCTGGACTAGATGGAGCCCGCCCGCCTGCCGCCTACCAGCCAGGCCTTGGGTCCCGCCCAGCCCACCTGGATGAGCTCATCGCGGGTGGCAAAGTCAGTGGCCAGGAAGTTGCGGCCGTCGGGCCAGCGGGTGAGCGAGATGCCCAGACGCTGGGAGGCCAGGACGTGGGCGTCGGGGGGCAGAGTGTCCTGCAGCTGCCGCTTGATGTGCTCAATGGGCGCGTAGGCCGGATGCAGGATGCTTAGGCTCAGCCGCTCCACCTGCTTAACCATGCCCAGGAGGTGAGAGCAGTAGAAGTCTGCAGGGGGTGCAGGGAAAGGGAGACCTCAGCGCCCAGGGGTCCTGCGAGCCCCTCCACAGCCCCACACCCCCTCCTAGGTGCAATGGGAGAGGGGTTCTCCCCACTCCAGCTCAGAATTTCTGGGCTCGGCCCCGGATTCAAATGATCCGTTCACCTTTTCACTTTTTGCCCCAGCCGACCTGGAAAATTGACTTTCTGGCTCAGAGCCACGATCCCTCCTCTGCAAATGGGGGTCACCTAGTCCCCAGCCCTGGGATTTCTCATGGGATTAAATGGGGCCGTGCCAAGGGTAGAGGGCGCAGAGCACAGCGCCAGGCGCCGGCGTCTCTGGGCTCAATTCGCTTCCGTTAAGGTGTCCCCGCCCCTTTTCGCCCCCGCAGTCCGGGACTCACCGACCGACTTGCCGCAGATGAGGCTGACTGCGTTGAGCGCCCCAGACGAGGAACCGTAGATGCGGCGGGCGCCCTGGAGGAGGCGCGGGGCGCGCTGGCGCAGGCACTCGGTGGCGCCCACGTGGTAGAGACCCAGGTAGCCGGCGCCGGCGAAGGACAGGTTCCAGCTGCCCTCCTCCTCTAAGAAGCCCATGGCAGGTGGACCGGGCGGGATGATCCGAACGAGGAAGGGTCACTCCGTGACCGGGGATGGGGCCGGGATGCAGCCCTAGACGGGGCTGGGTCCAAATGTGGGCTCTGGAGGGAGGCGGGCTGGGGCTGGTGCTCCCTGCGCCACCCCCGGGTTGCGTCACCTGAGCCCCAGCCAATGAAGTCCCCGGGTCGCGATCAGCCCCCACTCCAGGTGTGCGCCAGTTGTGCCCCAGAAGTGCCCCCGCGCTGTGTATGCGCTGGCGCTGCCCCCAGGCGCCCGCCCCGGATGCGCAACGGGTCATAGATTTCTGAGTGACACAGCAGGGGAGTGGGACCAAATCTTGCCTGATCTCTGGTAGTCTGGGCAGATGTTATTCCAGTCCTCATTAGGCAAATGAGACAACTGAGGCGCAGCCCAGCATGGTGACAGCCAGGAAGTGGCAGAGTCGGACCCAGGACATCTGGTCTTTGGGGTCAAACCAGGCTTAAGTCTGCAGCTGTGCTGGTTCCAGGGAGGGACCTGGGGGAAAGCGAGGTCTTGGGGCCAGCCCCAGCTTCCATCGATGTGGGTTTTCCCAGCCTCCTCGCTCTCTCCGGGCAGCACTTTTTCAGCCCAATGTGAGGAGACTTGGATGTGAGGACCTACAGAGGCCTTTCTGCTCTCATGGAACCCTGCACCTCCAAACCTCAAACACAGAGTCACCAGCAACTGTCCAGCGCTAGGGTGGGCCCTCCAGCAGAGACAGTGGGATCCTGGCTGGCAGCAGCCACCCAGTCCCCCAAGTGTGTGAGTAGGGACCAGTGTACTGGCCTGTGGCAGGGGGTGGATTCTGAATGCTGGAGAGGCCAAGGCACTCCTGCAGCCAGAAAGAGCCTCTGAGAGAACTCACCCACAACCCTGTCACCTGGACAGTTGTTCTGGAAATCAAGCGGGGCAGCAGATGAAATTAAGTACCCACAAGAAACCCTCCAACAGATCCACAAGGGTGACCCAGAAGAGACGGCTGATGGTGATATTGCCAGGGTGGTGGTCATAGACGACCCCCGCGAGGGGAATGGGTGAGGGAAACACAGTGGGGCCTTCCACAGACCGTCAGAGGGTCTGGGACTTGGAGAAAGATTAGAGATGTTACTGTGCTGTCTTTGGAGACAGAGAAGGGGCCACATACCAGGGAACACGAAATGTCTCTAAAAGGCAAGGAAATGGGTTCTCCCCCTGAGCCTCCGGAAGGAACGCAGTTCTGCTGACACTCGCTGATTTTAGCCCAGTGAAACCCATTTTGGGCTTCTGACCTCCCAAACTGTAAGATAACAAATGTGTGTTGTTCTAAGCCACTAAATTTGTGGTAATTTGTTACCGCAGCAATATGGAATTAATAAACACGACCTCTGTAGTAGTCTTGACAAAAATCCATAACCAAATATAATTATGAGGGAATATAAATGTAAATTAGGGGACATTCTACCCAGTAACTTGCCTGTCTGTACTCTCCAAAAAATAAGAAGTTAAGATCATGAAAGACAAAGTAAGGCAGATTAAAGGAGACTCTGACACCACAACGTAATGGAATACACGTGCTATATTCAACCCCAGCTGGGGATGGCAGGGGTGGTGAAGAGAACAAGCCACAAATAACATTATTGGGACAATTAGCAAAATTGAAATATGAGCTGTGAATTAAATTATAGTGCTGCATCCGGCCAGACATGGTGGCTCACACTTGTAATCCCAGCACTTTGGGAGTCCAAGGCAGGCGGATCACTTGAGGCCAGGAGTTCAAGACCGGCCGGAGCCATGCAGTGAGACTCTGTCTCAAAAAAAAAAAAAAAAAGAAAAAGTACTGTGATTATGTAAGAAAAAGCCCTCACTCTTAGGAAATACACTGATCCATTGAGGAGCGAAGAGGCATGATATCTGCAAACTCGTCACAAATAATTAAGAAAAAAAAATCTTTGTATCTATATGTGTACATCTACAGGGAGAAAGCAAATATGGCAAAATGGTAATGATTGGAGAATGTGGGCAAAGGGATTATGAGTATTTGTTTGCTTGTTGTTTGTTTGTTTTGCACCATTCTTGCAACTTCTCAGCAAGTGTGAAATTATATCCAAATGAAAGAGAAAAAGGGAAAGAAAGGGCAGGACCGACCCCTGGAAAATCTGACTGACGCACATTGACAGATAGGAAAAGAAGGAGATGCTGAAACAGGATCCATAGATGGTGATACAAGATGTCAGAGGAAAAACCAGAGCAGGAGGGGAGAGAAGAGGGACCCTGCTGAAGCTGGGACCCAGATCTCTTTATTTTTTATTTTTGAGATGGAGTCTTGCTTTGTTGCCCAGGCTGGAGTACAATGGCGTGATCACTGCAACCTCTGCTTCCCGGGTTCAAGCGATTCTCCTGCCTCAGCCTCCTGAGTAGCTGGGACCACAGGCGCATACCACCATGTCCGGCTAATTTTGTATTTTCAGTAGAGACGGGATTTCACCATGTTGGCCAGGCTGGTCTCGAACTCCTGACCTCAGGTGATCCACCTGCCTCAGCCTCCCAAAGTGCTGGGATTATAGGCATGAGTCACTGCGCCTGGCCTGGGGCCGGGATCTTTAAGAGCCCAGCAGGCCAGGTCGCCTTGGCCATCAGCGAGGAGGACCACCAGTGTGGTGGGGAGCAGCGGAGGAGGACAGTTATCTGGAAATCTTTGTTTCTGGGGAGAGGCTGTGGTTTAAACACATAAGGAGGTCAACAAGTCACATGGCCCAGGCCTTCAGAGAAGAAAGAGGAAGGAGAGGAAGAGCAGGAGAAAGAAGAGGTGGTTGGCATAGCCTAGACCTTGGTAGCAGGCAAACCTGCTCCTTATTGACCTATAGCTCCTCTCTGTATCCTGGTGGGTGCACCTGGCTTCTAACGCACCAGGATTTAATCTCTACCCTGGACCCCAGACTCCAGAGTACATGGATCCTGGACTCTGCCAGGAGACCTGGGGCAAGTCACTACCTTGGTCTGGGTTCTGGTTCCCCCACCTGTAAGTCAGGGAAATTGAACTACGTCAGCCCATACCAACCATTTCGAGAATGCCCCAGGGGTGCCATTTGACAGTGGTCATGTTGACATCCATTGACTGAGAAACTCCTGACTGACTAAGAGCTGCTGTGAATTCAGGAACACTTGGGAAATGGTAAGCAATTGATCGGTCACAAGTACTAGAAAAAAAAATTTACCCCTGTGTGCACAAAGCATTCTATTGACCTAGAACGCAGACTCTCCTCTGCATATCCGGTGCCCAGTACGGAGCCTGGTGCACCATAGGGTTTGTGAAAGGAGTAAATTGTCCAGATTAACACCAGAGGAAGCAGGCAGGCTGTGGGTCTTTGGAGGTGGAGGGGTGCCTGCCTGCTGATTCGTCTCCATGGGAGGTAGGCACTGGAATTGGAGCACACCCAAGACCCACCCCCATTAGCCAAGGAGAAAAATTTCCTGTGGAATGTTGATCAAAAGGCTGGGACCGCCGGCTCAGAGGCTTTGCCCGTGAGACAGCCGGAGTGGACTTATTCTTGACAAATGGAGTTTGAGGGACAAGCGGGTCCCTCCCTTGGAGGGAGAGACATTCAGCTGGAGCCTTGTGGGCTGTGACACTGAGCTGCCATTCAGGGACCTGCCAGTCTCTGGGGGAAGCCCAGGCTGGCCCTGGAGCCAGTCTTTTCCCTACATTATGCCCCCTTGAGTGGGACCCCAGACCTTCCCTCACTGCCCTCATCCCTGAAAGGGCACCCAGGCTGCAGGAATTCTGAGGAGGGTGATCACTGGAGGCAGGTCAGGGAAAGTGGCCTGGAGGAGGAGTTTAGGCAGGGCCTTGAAGGGAGGAATTGAGGAGGCAGAGATTGGAGGAGGGTATTTGAAAGCCAAGGCATAGAGGTGGGAATGTGCCAGGCATGCCCAGGATTCTATAGGGGACCCATGGGATTAGCATGGAGTCTGCAAAGGAGGGGGATTCCAGACGAGGGGCAGCATAGAGCCCTGGGAAAGCCCTGGAGGGCGCAAGTGTGATAGACAGTGTCTATCTCTGTGCCCTGCCGGGTGACTGGTCCCATGCAGGCAGGTGCCCACTCAGTTCCCACTGAATACGCTGCAGGCAGATCTGGGCACGGGGGCAACCTAGGACCCAGGAAAAGGGAAGCCACCGAGGTTGGGCACGTCCTCGTCCTGACCCCGCGCTGTCACTTAAGTCTTCTCTCCACCTCTCTCCCTGGATGAGGCGGCTCCTAAGCCTTCCCGCAGGCCCCAGCGCGTCTCCCCATGTCTCTGCCCCATGACTACATACCTTCAGCCTTACCATGGAAGCTCCCACCTGGATTGTTCCCTCACCTGTAGCAACCATCCCCACGCTCCAGCCAGCATCACTGCGCCTTGCCCTGGCTCACCCGCTCTCCAAGCCTCACCTACCACTACAGCCTCTGCTTGAACATCCCACCTCCTCCCCGCTCCCCTGACCAATCAATTGGAAAGTGTTTTAAAAACCGTGGAGCCCCAAGCACTTGGGTTTGTAGTGATTAGGGCTGTCTGGGATCCAATTCTGGCTCCAGCATGTCTTGGCTGGTGACCCTGGATAATTTAACTGATCTTTGCCTCAGTTTTCTCATCCATCAAGTGGGGATAATAACACTACTTACTCCATAAGACCGGTAAGGATTAGAGCTAATGCAAGTAACGTGTTTGGAATAGCGCCCGGCACTGGATAAGCACACAAACAATGGCTACTACTGTGATTGTTGTAATCAAGTGGCACACAATCAATGGCAACCACTATGTTATTTATTTATTTAATTTTGAGACAGAGTCTCACTCTGTCACCCAGGCTGGAGTACAGTGGCACAATCTCGGCTCACTGCAACCACCACCTCCCAGGTTCAAGCAATTATCCTGCCTCAGCCTCCCAAGTAGCTGGGACTACACGCACACACCACCATGCCTGGTTAATTTTTGTATTTTTGGTAGAGACAGGGTTTTACCATGTTGCTCAGGCTGGTCTTGAACTCCTGGCCTCAGGTGATCTGCCCACCTCTGCCTCCTAAAGTGCTGGGATTACCGGCATGAGCCACTGCGCCCATCCCT